GATTGCGGTGAGTCAAGATTGCACCACTGCCCTTCAGCCTGGGTGACAGAGCAAGACTCAGTCTCAAAAATACAAACAAAAACAACAGAAACCCCCACACTGATTGGAGTAAAAAATCTCAACTTTCCCATTAGAGTTTAAGATAAAGCTTCAGATGGCAAAATGTGTTTTTTTTTTTTGGTCAAGCTATTTCTAAAATAATGAACACATTTTTAATAAGTAAGTCAGTAGAGGCATCTCAGAAATACTTCAGAACATATTACGTAACTCAAGTATTGAAAGATCAGAACTTTTTGTTTTCTCCGTCTCAGTAAGGTTAATGCTTGAAAACTGGTAATTACAGAGTATAATTCTCACGTATGCTATTTTATAACACTATAGGTCTTTTGTTTTCATGCAGAAGTTTTTCTTTTTTTCCAAATGTGGACTGAGACAGATGTTTCTGAGAAAATGAATTCATTGAAATGTAAAGTCTGACTCTCCGGTTAAAAAAGGCCCAAACTAAATTACAGCAGTGGGAAGAAGGAAGAAATAAGTAACCCCCAAAACTGATCGTACATTTTAGTCCATTAGGCTTACTTTGCTGACAACTTTAAAAATGCACATATAATTGCTTACTGGGAAGAAGAGTAGGAGTAGGTTATGTGTAATCTGAAGTGCTTTTAACAAGGATAAAATAAGAGGCTCATCTGCCATTCCCTGTTCATTTTTAAAGATGAGCACTCGGATTTGTCTCTGTCTTCTCTTGGATTGTGCATTATAATAGGAGACTCATATTTGTCCCACAAAGGAAGCAATTTAGTGGTGTTTCTGTAGATTTCTTTTTCAGTTGGCTAGAGAAAAACCTAGAGGTCTTTGGATATCAAACCTTCAGGGAAATGATTTCTACTGTCACCACTCATAAACTGAGAGGAGAAAAACTACGTTTTCCTAAACTATGTTTCTCAAAATGCTAAAGGTCTACCACAGAGCAACTGTGGACATGAAAAAACAGTGTCTGCATTCAGATTATTAGGACATTTATTGTTACAATTGGAGTTTGATTGTATGGATTTAAATGTTAACATATTCTAATGTGATTTTCAATTCGTAATAAAAAATAAATAGGTTCTTTCATTTAAGACTGTGCTATGCTATGGAGAATAGTTTTTTGTTTTTTTTTTGAGACGGTGTGTTGCTCTATCACCCAGGCTAGAGTGCAGTGGTGCTGTCTCAGTTCACTGCAACCTCTGCCTCCCAGATTCTCCTGCCTCAGCCTCCCAAGTATCTGGGATGACAGGTGCCTGCCACCATGCCTGTCTAATTTTTGTATTTTTAGTAGAGACAGGATTTCACCATCTTGGCCAGGCTGGTCATGAACTCCTGACCTCATGATCCACCCACCTTGGCCTCCCAAAGTGCTGAGATTACAGGTATGAGCCACCATGCCTGGCTGAGAATAGTTTTTAAAAGGTAGTTATCCCCATTATCAAAGAGCTTACAAGTCAGGTTAAGAGGGGGATGTAGGAAGATGATGGCTTTTGCCAATACTTAGAGCTTTCTCTGTGCCACGCATCATTCAAAGGGCTTTCCATGCACGAACTCTTTTAATCTTCAAAACCCTTATGGAATAGATAATATTTTTATTGCCATTTTACAGATGAAGAAACTGAGGCATAGAAAGCTTGAAAACTCTCCCAAGGTCAGACACCTACGAAGTGGTAAAGTTAAGCCATGAACTCAGGCAAGTTAATCAGGATGACAAATTGCACCTCAGATTGGGCAGAATTCACACACACGCGCACACACACACGCACACACACGCACACACATGCATCATTAATGATAATGCGAAACAGCTGACAATCACTGATGAGAAAATGATAGATCATCCTGGGTTGGGACAGTTAAGGAAGATTTTTGTGATATGAAATCAAAGCTAGATCCAAACAAACTATGTCATCCGTATCACCTTGTTGAAGATGTCCATTAGCACTTGAGAGTTCTGAGAAGCATACTGGAGCAAAACCTGTGCATTTAATCCATTGTTTCCCCAAATTTTTGACTATGAAGCCATTTTTTTTTTTTTTTAAAATCAGGGAACACTTAGCAAACATCTTTGGACACACACATTTTTATGCCATTTGGAAAATGTTAACTTAGAACTGAGTTTTAAATTTAAATTTAATTTTTGAGACAAGATCTCGTCACCCAGGTTGGAGTGCAGTGGCACAATCATAGATTATGCAGACTTGTACTCCTGGTCTCAAGCTATCTTCCCACATCAGCCTCCCAGGTATCTGGGACCAGCAACGTGCATCAGCCTGCCTGGCTAATTTTCTAAAAGTTTCAGTAGAGATGGGGTCTTCCTATGTCGCCCAGGGCCATCTATTGGCAGAGATTCTCCAGGGGTCCTCAGCCTCTGTTGCCAGTGGCCAGAAAGGATCTGATGAAAAGGAGACAAGGGGAAGGGCTACCAGGAACCGTGGTGGATAGGAATTGTAGGATTTGGGTGGACATCATGAAAACTTGATAGGTTATCAAGTTTTGCTTATTTAACTAAGTCTTCTGTCTAGCCAGGGCTGTATTCTTGTCAGCTCTAGGAAAGTCTTAAATTAACCAGACTGACTAATTCTCTGGGGCTGAACTGTGGAGTATTTACTTTAAAATCATAAGAAATAATCCCTTATTTGTCCTTGGTCTTTGTTTTGTTTTTTTATGGGTCCGGGAGGGGTCAGGGTGGGGTGTGGTCTCGAAGGGGAAGGGTCTAGGAGCTGTCCTTGGTCTTATCAGTATATCCTTAGCACCTCTGGGTCACCGTCTTTTTTCTTTAATCATTTTTTCAAATAGTTTTTTTGTCCATATCACAAGGATTATTTTTATGACCAACCTGGCCACCTGTAGATATAATTGCTCTCCATCTCTGTTAATGCATCTTGTTTTTATTTGCATGAAATTTGGCCCAATCTACAGAAAGTGAAAGATACATCCTAACTCCCACTTCATAGACATTTTTTTAAGTGATGTAGGAATTTACATTTCTTGAGTACTCCCTTTTTGCTAAAAATTGTGCTATATATTTTATGTGTGTTATTTAATTTCACCCTCACAACCACCCAGGAGGTTGATATTACTATCATTTTATACATGAGGAGATGGAGGCTCCGAGATGTTAAATAAATTGCCTAGGGTTAGGTAGTTAATGCTAATGAGGGATTTAAATTCTGGTCTATCTGGCTCTGAAGCCCACACTTTTTATTTTAAGTTACTTTTTACTTATTGCAGAATCAGGGGTCTTGCTATGTTGCTCAGGCTGGTCTTGAACTCCTAGCCCCAAGTGATCTTCCCACCTTGGCATACCAAAGTGCTAAGATACAGGTGTAAGGCACTGTACCTGGTCCAAAGCCCACATTTTAATTTATTTTAAAATGATTCTTGTAGAGATGGGATCTCACTACATTGCCCAGGCTGGTCTCAAATTCTTAGATTCAAGCAATCTTCTTGCCTCAGCCTTGCAAAGTGGTAGAATTACAAATGTGAGCCACTGTGCCCTAAAAATGCTTTTAAAACACTACTGTGTTGCTTCCTTAAAAGGAAAGAAAATACTGAAGATTATATCAGCACTTTTAATATGGGAATTTGAATTTCAGGCAATGAAATAAATTGCTTAGATGACTAAGACAAGCCAATGTTATTTCAAACCACATCAGCTAAAACTTAAACTTTTTTTTTCTAATAATCTCTCTGGGTTAATTATAAGTTTGACTTCCTAGTATTAAACAACCAATTCTTCTTTATCTATATTTTGTGCCCCATAAACTCTCCCTATTCTTATTAATGCAAGAATGGCTATTTGGTAAGATTCTGTAATTGAGGGGAGACCCTCTATGTATTCAGCATCTACCATGTACCAGTGAGCATGCTTGGTGCTTTTTGTATGCAATCTCTTTTAATTGCCACACAATACTATAAAATATATTATTGTCTTGAAATTTTATAGCAGTTTTTGGTAATTTCTCTAGTCAGAGGATAAATTAGTGACAGAACTAGGATTGGGATCCATTTCTGTCTTGGAAGTGTCTGCTTTCTATTGTGTTGTATGCCAGGAGGGAGTGTTAGCTGCATTTGAGCAATCACAGCTGTTTCATGAATTCTCTAAGAAGTGTTCACCGGTAACTCCAGTCTCTGGCACAAGCTTGAATGCTCCTGGAAGGACTGGGTCTTTTTATATCCCAATATTTAGCTCCACATCTGGCCCATAGTAGATCCTCAATCAATACTTCTTTAATTGAAATCTAACTGCTCATGTAGGCTTGGCCTATTTGACAGTGTTTCAGCTAGGTTCCCATGTACCTTTGAAAGTCATACCTGACCTTTACCTGAAATACTACTAGGCATCTCTTTTGATTTTATCTTGTGATATAGAACATTCACAAATGAAAAAGTAGCTTTGCATTCAAACATGGGAAGTCATTAAGTAGTCAGAGGGATTCTGAACACAAATCTTAATAAAATGAAGACAGGAGAATATATAAAGCTCCAAGAAAACATTGGAAACGTTGGCAGTGTTCTTTTTCTCTCTTTCCAGATGGATTTAGAATACTCAGTTGTTCTGAACTGTTCTATTGTTCTTCATGGCCTGTAATTCTGAAATGTGAGACCCTGTTTTCACAAATAATTCTTGCACTGAGTCGGCTATGTTTTTACAACTTAAAACATTGTACCTCATTCTCATTCGTATATGAGTTTGACAAATATGAGTCAGAAAAATATCAGGACTCTGGGGAAATGCAGAGCTGAATTGTGGCCCAGTTTCCCTAACTTGGCACTAACCAGCAAGTGATACCTTCATGGACATGGGTGTTTCTGTAGCCTCCAAAGTGGAAGGAGTCACGTGGACCATGTTTGCTTCTGTGTTCTTTCCTTGAATGTTTCCTGAGCAGTGGCTTCCTTTTATGGAATCCAGTTGGTTGGCTGGTAACATGTTCCTTGGTGAGAATTAGGATCTCTTCATCTTGCGATATTTTAAAGAAATGATCTTTATTTTTAATTGTTCATCTAGACATGCCAATGGATATTTAGGCCACATTTTGAGCGAAACTCACAAGGTGTGCTTTTTTTTTTTTTTTTTTCAAACTTCACACATGTATACAAAATGACACAGTATTTAAAGGGTTTAAAAGAACAAAGCATGAGAAATACAGTGAGATACAAGCTCATAACCAAACCTAAATCAGTGAGCAGATCTGATTCAACATGAGAAAAGATTACAAAACAAATGCTAGTTTTGTAGAAAGCACTATTCGAAGACAAGGTTGCAGGATGCTGCCAGTCCCTTTGTGGGAAGTCATAAGCAGGGAGAAAGAGCCTGGTTTTTACTCAGCCTAGCAGGGAGTTACAGGTAGATCAGGGTTTCATAAATAAGGTCCTGACAATTCATCACTGCTATTAAAAGCAAGAGCAGGTTTTGCCTATCAGGCCGGGCAGTGATATATATTCTCTCTCTGTGTCTTAATTCGATCTTAACTTTACCATCAGGTTACTACACAGCCCTTTGATTCCTTTCTACTCAAGCAATGAAAGTATTAAACTTGGCAAGCCAACTATCGATGGTCCATGGACAAGGAGATCAAGATTGTAAAGATAAAATCTGTGGATGATCCAATAGCTGTGTTTTAACTAGTAACTGGACTCCTATTGAAATATTGCAAGAGGACCACTAATAGGCAAGAAAAAATACATTCATATTCTTTTTCTTTTTACCAACAAATGAGGAACTCAAGAACTCTGCAGACAGTCGAATGAGGGAGGCAGCTGTGTTGAGTTTAAGCCTCATTTTACTTCAGATTTTTATGTACTTGTAGCTATGTCACAGGCTTACCCATTGGATATTTGGTAGTTTTTTCTCTCTGAGTGCTTCAATACCTAATTGTAACAAAGACACTTTTGCCCTATCAACTTGGAACTACTAAGAACACCTGGAATCTCATTTATCTAAATTATCACATAATTTAAACAAAGCCATTTTTTTAGACCCAAGGCAGAAACCCCATTAGCTAAAATAGTGTCTTCTTTCCTAACTCTTCCTTTCTTGTCCCCAGCAATTGCCTGCCTTGATTTGACCTTATATACATTAAAAATAGACTAATCAAAAGCCCTTTCTGCACCATCAAACCAAAGTAAGACTGGTTCGGAAATAGGAATACATCTTACGTATTCTCTTCTGGGACCTCACCAAGCTGAGAGCTGCATAATACTAAAGCGATACAGAAAAATATATCAGCTCATAGTTTTACAGAAAAAAAATTACAAAGTTAGTGTTAGCTTTCCACAACTTCCTTTCTTACCCACGTCAATAATTTCAACTTACCATCCACCCATTTCATAAGATCTTCACACTTTCTCTAGCACCATCTGACAATCTCTCCTAATTTAATGAAAATATAACCAACTTTCCAAAATTTCCCCTAAACCTTAATTCTGCAAGCCTCAGTCTCTCTATAGGAACTTATTACAGGTCAATCAATATTTCACTTGTATGTTAGGAGAAAAACCCCCAAAACAGTTGTACTTAGGAAATGCCAGCTCTCATTCTGCTAGCTTGAGGAATAGGTTGATAGCAGCAGAAACAATCATTCTCCCACTACCACACTGTTTAAGGTAAAAAGAAAGACATCAGCAATTTTCATCTAACATCAGTTATGCTGAAACTTCTAAAGAAAAGGTTTAATGCACAGTGTTTAGCAGCCTAGAGAAGAATGCTGTAACAAACTAATTTTACAGCCAAGTGCCTGCAGAAAAGATGGCAACGAAATTCCAAGGTGATACTCCTAGCTAAAAGACATAATTAACTGCAATGACCTGCCAGGAGGGTAAAGTCTGTTATACAACTGAAATATTTTCTTTACTTAAATAATATGAACTTCAGCTAAACAGTTGGGTAGTTGTTCACATGAGATTAAGGGGAAAAAAATCCAGTTACTATTGACACTAAAGAAATGCACACCAGCCATACACCAAAAGTACTTTGGTACTGTAGCCATAACAGACAAATGTGTGGCATGGGAGCAGGGAATTCCCTGATGGTTAGATGGCAGGGTCATAGAAGGTTTTCAAGACCTGCTATGTCTCCTGTGAGGCTGATGCACTGCCATGTTCTGTAACAAGAGTCACATAAACACAAGCTTAGCAGCTGGCTTGTTAAAACATCGCTGCGTTGAAAAGTGACTGATTCAGGCTTGTTGAAGGGTCTCATTAATCTGAGGAAACGATGCTTGGTGCCATAGATTAAACACTATGGTCTCGAGTGGAATGCATGTGAAGTTTCCAAAATGTTTCCTCAAAGACTTTATTCAGTTTTGGTTTGTGACCTTAGCTGGAAAACATACAGATGGACGTGGGAAGGCAGTTGAGAAAGACATCTATGAGGATTAAAGTCGGGTAGCTTTCAGAAGATGAAAGATGTTTAAAGTTAAGGCCTTTATCTGCAAACAATAGTATATTAATAAACTCTATACCATATTTACAAATGCATTCTCTTGTATTAAAACTAACAGTATTCTGTTCACAGTGCCATTGTTTGTACAGGTAGCAATCCCATAATACTCATGTATTTTGGCATGGGAATCAGTAGCGTTCGATATTTACAGAAAATGTACATGGGTGAATATAAACATGTCACGGAATCCATAAAAGACAGATTGGCTAACGGTGCAAAGGAATGAGCTGTACAGCACCTTCCCTTCGGATTGGATAGGAAACGTGGTTTCTTAAACTGAGAAGATGCCAAGTCTCTGCCCCAAAGTGGCATAATAAAGTCAATAGCAAAACAATGAACCCCCTGTTCAAGTTTGGGTACATTGAATGATCTTAGTCCCAAAGTTGCAGCTCCATTGTCTAGTGCATCAAATATAAAAGTTAAAAAGATTTATTATTTTTATAATAATTATTATTAAAATAGAAGGTACTTTCTCTCACGCTCTTATTTGTGCTCTTGCACTTAAGATCAATATCCTTGGTGTTGCAAATATGCTGGTGTTTCTGTCACGCACATCAGCAGTCAGATAGCAAACACTCCGGACTTGGGAACGGCTGCTTGGTCCAGTGCGACCCGGGGCCCTGGCAGGCAAGGCGGGAGCACCTCGTTCTTCCTCCCATCGGGTCTCCTGGAGCAGGGTGAGCCTGCCCGTGGGATCAGCCCCCCACGATACTGAATGGAGTTGCTCATCTCGGCAGCGAATGCTGAGGTGACAAATGGCTTCTGTACACTTGCGAAAAGAAGGGGAGGCAGGTAAGTGGGAGGAAGGTGGCATTCCAAAGAGCCCCAGGACAACACCCAGAGAGTGGATGGGCTGCTGGGCAAGGGTTCCCCCCCACCCCACCCCGCGCTGGAGAACGTCGTCGCGTCTGAGCTGGGCCGGCCCTAGGGGCTGTCGCCTTCCCGCGCCGTCCGCTCCTCGCTCTCAGTCCCTTGGCCTGCGTGGTCCTGGTCCGGCCCGCTGCCACTGCTGTCCCTGCTTCTGCGCTGCCTGGGCAACAAGCTCTTCCACTGGTCCTTGTTGTGCGCGAGGTGGCCCAGCATGTTCTCCGATAGCGCGCTGTTTCCCGTGAAATGGGCCCATTCCCGGAAGAGCGGCTCCACGATGTAGCTCATGAAACCTAGAACAGGCAAGGCCAGGCTCAGCACCGCAGGGTGGCGAAACCGCTCCTTTCTCCCTCCCAGGCACGACTGGGGACCCCCAACGCCGGGCTAATTTTTGTTATTTTTAGTAGAGACGAGGAGGTTTCGCCATGTTGGCCAGGCTGGTCTCGAACTACTGACCTCAAGTGATCTGCCCACCCCTGCCTCCCAAAGTGCTGGGATTACAGGCCTGAGCCACTGCCCTTGGCCTTATTTAGGTCTGATTGTATTTCCTTGATGTGTAGGTGTGGGAAGAAAAGGCAAATGTTTTCAGCCTAATAAAAATTTCCGGCTCCAGTGACAGGAAGGCAAGCAAGATAACGGTGGTTACCCTCAGCCTAGGAGCATAAGATGTGTCATTTTGGGCTTGTCCCTGAATGGCTTTGTGCCTCAGTTTCCTCATTTGTAAAAAGATGCTAAAGAGAATACTAAACCCATAGGGTTGTTACAATTAAATGACTTAATGTATGTACAATGCTTAGAAAGCTCTTGGCACATAGTAAACATCCAGTGAATATTGGCTACTATTTGCAGAGGGAGAAAGACATATAAGAAAATATGTATATATATATAAAAGTCTGTGCTGCAGCTAAAGAAGGCAGGTGGGGAAGGGATGCAAAGGGCAAATCATACCAGCAAGGGACACCTCACGGGTTTAGATCACCTGAAGAATTCATACGCTTACCCTGTGGGATATCTTTTTCAAGATTATCATTGAACAGTCCTGTCTTGCTTTGAGTTATGTTAAGTAACTAAGTTTAAAGAATGTTCATTCATTTTGAATACAAGTTTTTTTTTTACCTGTATGAAAGTCCTGCTTTAATGACTAGATAAGATTGTTTGATATGAGACTTCTTTTGTTTGCAAGTCTGTTCTCTTACACATTTCAGATTTGTTGCTTTCTAATCAAGTTTCGCTGTTAATGTGCTTTTCATAATACGCATGATTTATTAAAAAAAAGATAACTTTCAGTCTAAGCCAGAACTGTTGGAATCATCACAAACTTGAACTTATTTAGGTTTTATTGTATATTTCCTTGATGTGTAGCTGTGGGGAGAAAAGGCAAATGTTTTTCAGCCTAACAAAAATTTCCAACAGCAAATCCTGTATATTTACAGGCATGTGATTTACAGGCTAGATTTGATTATCTTTTTGTTGGACAAACAGCAGACACTTGGCCTTTGAGAATGCCATAGAGATGGAAGAGGGATGCAGCAATACACAGTATTGTTGTACATTTCTGCATTGTCTCATCGGATGTGAAATATGATTTAAATATTGTGAGATCATAGTAGAGAACCTGAACTGGAGGGGGAAAGTTAAGCCGGTGACTGGACATCTGTATTTGGCATTTTGGTAAGGTTGTACAGGGCATCAGCAGATGAGGACTTCGCGTTTTGATTGCTGTTCTTGAATTTTCTTTACCTCTTCCAGAATCTCCATATTTAATTTCTAATATCATTCACCTTCAAATAGATGAGATATTAGATATCTAAAAAGACAGTTTGCAAAATTGTACTAAAGTTCAAAGTACGAATATTAAGTTTACCTCATTATAAAAAAGTTACAAATCCAACATTTAAAAATCCAACTCTCAAAAAAAAAAAAAAAAAACAAAACACCTCATTTTCTTTCTGAAGTGACCCTGGCATTCTATCTGTGTACTTTTCCGATATAAAGACTTCTTATGCTAGGTAGGAAAGTGATTTTAAAGTCTGAATAGACACCAGGAGGCAGTTTTTCAAATTAAGGAAGGCTTCCACATGATCAGATTTGGAAAGTGGTCCATCAGTGTGTTCTGCCAACCTCTCTCTTCTCAAGGGGTGAGCTGACAGTGCTGGGCTATCGTTCTCCAGGTGGGATGATGGGATAGTAGGGGGTTGGGGAGAGGAAGGGGGAATAGGGAAGAATGGTAACCTCAGAGTAGACAAGGATTGAAGGAAAACCTCTTTCTCTTCAGCCTTCTATAGATTGCACCAATTAGAGATTCATATGATTTAATACCTTTTTATTTTTTGTTTTAATTTTTTTATGAGTCAGGGTCTCTCCCTTTCACTCAGGCTGGAGTGCAGTGGTGTGATCACAGCTCACTGCAGCCTTTACCCCCCAGACTCAAGTGATCCTCCTGCCTCAGCCTCCACAGTAGCTGGGACTACAGGCACATGCCACCACACCCAGCTAATATATGTGTGTGTATATATATATATATATATATATATATATATATATATATATATACACACACACACACACACATGTTTTATTTTTGTAGAGACTGGGTTTTGCCTTGTTGTCCAGGCTGGTCTTGAACTCCTGGCCTCAAGGGATTTGCCTGCCTCAGCCTCCCAAAGTGCTGGGATTATAGGCATGAGTCACCCTGCTTGGCTAATATTTTCCTTTTAAAATGCAGAATTTGGTAGAGTGAGGGACGTGTGGAGTTGGGGAGGAGAAATTAAGCCCTAGTTCCACTTGGGGAGATGTGAATTACTTAAAAAGAAAAATTAGATCTAAGCCTAGCTGAGAGTGGCACTCAGAAAATTCTCATTTTGGATTGAGGCAGGACAAAGAAAGGGAACATTGCAGTCAGAGAGGAATAAGGACAGAGGAAATAGCTGCATTACTTAGGACCCACTGGAAAAATCGTTGTCTCGGGCGCTAGAGCCTGCAGCATCCACCAAATTTCATTTAACTCTTGGGGTTTTTCCAGTTTAGCCTGATCTGTCCCTACCACCCTAATTCCCAACCCTGAATCCCTACGAGCTGGCCGATGTGAAACAGACCAAGATTTATGTATTAAGGGTTGTTTTATAATCATCTTCCCTTTCTCTTTATTATTGGTGTGTGCTGGTGTAGCATCCATAGGATTTTCCTATTTACTCAACCCCTGACCCCTTTTAAAAGAGGTGTCTATGGTAACCACATTTTCCTGAGCTGAAAATCAGGACATACGATCTCACAAAATAAGTGTGTTCTCATGACAGCAACAAGACAGAATCTCTGAAATTAGGTCTGTCTCACAAATCCAGGTTGTATGCTGAACCACGTGAATCCTTTTGTTTGGGGGGTTCAAAATGTCATCGACAGTTGCCTGGTAAATTTCTTTCAGGGAGTCTCAGGATTAGGACTTTAGTTAGCATCTAATTTTGAATTATGTCTGCAGTCCCTCCATGGCTAAAGCAATCGATAGGAGAGAATTGGATCTCAGGAGGCTGAGGCTGCATTTCTCTTGCTGATGCTTCCCCTCCATCCACCCAGCAATTCTGTATTATCATCTTTTCTGGGTTCTATTTTTTTATGCCACCACCTCCAGCTTCCAACTTTGGGGTGGAGGAGTCAGTTTAACTGTCAGAACTATGTAACAATATTAAGGACAATTTGAAGAAAAAAAAAAAAGAATGCCCAATAATCAAGCATACCTATTTTGATAGTTGTATATTCCATTAAAATTTTTGTAGCTAGATTTATTTTGTCCTGTTTCCTAAGGATGACTTTATGACTCCTTTGTAGGTCAGTGGATTAGATTTGACCTTCGGTGATATTATATAATTCTGACTTGCCCTGGTTTTCTTAATTTTCAGCTTATCTTTTCAGATGCCCCCTTCCCTACCAATGTCAAACCATTAAACCTTGATCCTTGCAAATGTCAGTAGTAACGCTGTGAATGCATTCAGCTGTCTAAAGTCTATGGGAACAGGTACAAAACATGAACTGGTACGTGTCAGGATCAGCGTTTATAAGGAAAAGAGTTAAAGTTCTGAGTTTGGGTTCAATGGAAGGGAAGTACAAGGAAAAGAAAGACTTGCTTTAAAGGTGGGTAGAATTGGTGGAGTGTCTTAAGGTGTGATAGAAATTCTTACTGGAGCAAAAATATTTCCTCCATTAAAGTGCCTAAAATTTTCACAATTTGATTTGCTTCATGGTCTTTATGACTTATGAGTTCATCACTGATTTGCTTCATAACTCAGATAAAGCCACAATTATTTTGGATGCATTGGCATCATACTTTGTTTCCCACCATTGACACTTGCAAGAGAGTGTGGTTTTAAGAGAATGAACCTGAAAATACGTTTTGAATGAAGGACTAGTGAGACAGGGGATCCCTGACACAGCAGGAGAGCATGGCTCGCAGGCTCTAGGCCTGGAGATTGGGCCCTGGAGACTGGGAGCGAGTGTTGGGGAAGAGGGGTAGTGACCCAAACTGGAAGGGTCCTAAAGGCAGATTCTGTAGATTCCCACCTTCATGCCCTGAAGAGAGTGCAAATAGTTGATTCTTGTTACTTTTCTTCTACTCTTTCTGATTTTGACTCTATTCTAAACTACAAAATCAAAATAATACAAGTTAGTTAAGGGCCTGTAACAAAGCTTCTATTCTATGTTTCATAAGTTCTCAGTAGATAATTAGCTAGTAAATTAGATGTGATTAAAGGGTTAATTTGGACTCAGCCATTCAAAGGGATGTTGATTAGACCTCCAGGGCTGATCTTCTGAAAGCTGTGTGTAGATCTTTTCTTTGTGACTTTTGTGAGATGTGCCAACAGTATTCATTTAAACTTAACACTGAATTTAACTCACCAATTTGTATACTAGGGATGGAATCTTTCTGTTGATTACAAAGAGGACTGATTTCCAGTTCAAATTTCTGTTCAAGTTCACCTAAGAAGAAAGTAAAAAAAAAAAAAAAAAAAACAAAACACACAACACATCGGTAATCTAGAATTTATAAAATGAGTATTAATAATTTTAATGACCTCGTTGGAAGAAGTTATTCTGGGAATTACTGTTTCCTGACTTGTTATTAGTAGGGGCCCTTCAGGACTGACTTGCTCTGCCTTTCATTGGTGGTTTCTATAGAAATTTAAAATACTGCAGTGCCAATGACTGTTCGTATGGATCACTGCAAGTAGGTGTGTTCTAGGACTAGAATAAGCTTTTGAACAAGACCTATAAAAACAAGAAAACAACAAATGAGAAATTTCCTCACATGAAATAAAAGTCTGGCTTTAAGTGACAGGTTAAGAAAACAGTTTTATTCTTCGTTCTCCCTCCTCCACTAAAGTGCCTAAAATGTCCACAGTTTGATTTGCTTCAAATCAAACCTAGTTTTGTTTCACCTAAGAACAACCAGGAACAGGAAGCAGGTAGGAAATGAGGTAGAAGGGCTGGAAAGATCTCATCTGAGGGGCATCTCAGTCTGTAACCACAAAATTAATCAGACTCTTCCATTCTGATTTTTTAGAATTTTACCTAATGAAACTGAAGGTGAAAAAAACTATAAAGGTCAGAATGGTATTTCTTTTTTCTTTTTGTGACAGGGTCTTACTCTGTCACCCAGGCTTGATTGCAGTGGCATGATCTCTGCTCACTGCAGCCTGCAACTCCTGGGCTCAAGCAATCCTGCGTTAGCCTCTCGAGTAGCTTGGACAACAGGCATGAGCCACCACACCAGGCTAATATATATTTTTTAATTTTTAGCAGAGATGAGGTCTTGCCATGTTGTCCAGACTAGTCTTAATCTCCTGAGCTCAAGTGATCCTCCTGCCTCGGTCTTCCAAACTGTTGGGATTACAGCTGTGAGCCCCTGCACCTGGCTCGAAATGTTTCTTTTTAATGCCTCTGTCAGCTATCAGGCTGGTACAAATGTAATTGTATTTTTTGCCGTTATTTTCCATGGCAAAACCTGCAATTACATTTGCACCAAATTAATAAAAGATCAAAGTAGAAATGCATTGTACAAAACTTTATTAAACTATTTCATCAGTCCTTCCTGAATGTAAAAATTGTAATTCTTGTGTTGGAAAAAAATAATCTGACTAATCAGTGGAAGAGTTGATCCTCAGAAACATTAGCTAAGGTTCACAGTTGTGAATCTACTCTGCTAAAGTAGAAGAGAGAAAAACACATTTATATAGTGATTACTGTGTGCCAGGCACTGTTCTCAGCATTTTTCATATGTTAATAGAAAAAATTTGTCAGTTTTTTAAATAAGAGGTAGGCTGTCACTCTGTCACCCAAGCTGGAGTACAATGGTGCCATCATAGCTCACTGTACCCTTCAACAGTTGAGCTCTAGAGATCCTCCCGCTTAAGCCTTCTGAGTAGCTGGGACTACAGGCATGCACCACCACTCCTGGCTAATGTTTTGTTTTTGTTTTTAATAGAGATAGTATCTCTCTATGTTGCCTAGGCTGGTCTCAAACTCCTGGCTTCCAGTGATCTTCCTGCCTCAGCCTCCCAAAGCATTGAGATTACAGGTGTGAGCCCCCATACCCAAGCATATGTTAATTAATTTAATCCAAATAACAACCTTATTAGAATCCCCATTTAGCAGATGAAGAAACTGAGACGAGGGAAGGCTAAGTATATTGACCCAGTATGTTACTAGTAGCTTTCACCACCAGTAAAGAGGGGAGCCTGGATTCCAGCATAGGAAGTCTAGCTTCAAAGTGTCTGTACTTAACCATTGAGCTGGAATCGTACAGAGGCCACAGTTCTGTCATTTTAAGACTGTAGTTCACTTCCTGGGGGCTGTTGTCCCTGGTAATCCTCAATGCTGAAGTGAGGAAACCATTCGGGCTTAACCTGAGTGGTTCAGGTTGGCCTGGCCACCCTAACTCTTCAACTCCAGACGATCATAGCCTTCTGAGGGCAGGACAGGATACCATTTAATATTAAGACAAACCCACCTAAAGCCAGTTCCATGCCTCACATCCGAACTTCTGTTATTAGTGATCTTTCAGTCAAGTGTGACACTTTGGAGGAGTCTCTTTGACACCTCCCTTCCCTGCACCTTCCATCCCACCTCAGCCTGGCTGGGGACCCTGCAACCTCCCTGCTCCTTTCTTCCTCTTCAATCTGTTTTCACATCCTGTTTCTCTCTCTCTCAGGAGACCTTATTTGCCTTCTTTCACTCTACTTTATCCTGGTCTGGTGTGTTGATCATTCATTCTTAGTTGCCGCTTCTTAGCTAGTCTCCTTCCTCCAAATCTTCTATTTCAACGATGTATGCTGCCTAAATGCACTTTCTGAGATGACTCCCATTGTTGTGTTCTCTATTGTAGCCTGGTGTCCAGAAGCCATCACAATCCTCTCGTTCTTATCCTCGACGAGACTGAGCTGGTCTATAAGGCAGGGTACATCCCTGCCTCGTGATTTCCATTCCATTCTATCTAGACCAGCGCTATCCAACAGGACTTTGTGCAATGACGGAGATCTCCTCTACACTGCTCACTGTGGCAGCCCCTTGAAATATGATCAATAAGACTGAGGAACTCTTTTTTATTTATTAAATTTTAATTTAAATTGAACCAGTCACAAGTACCTTGTTACCGTACTGGAAAGTGTAGAACAATGCACATCACTTAATACTGAGCTCAGATCCTACCTTTCAAGGCACTGGATCTTCTCCTGTGACCTCTATCATTAGAGGTCTTCCAATGAGATCATTTATTCATTTACTCATTTAACATGCTTCTATGTTTCAGACACTTTGTTAGCCAACGTAGAGAATAAAAAGGAATTTTGCATAGTTGTTTTCCTCTAGAAACTATACTAAGTAGTACTTTGAGAGTACAAAGCATAGACTAACTATAGTTCTTTGTATTATTCATAATATCTCCAGTAGGGCTTTGTACATAGGAAAATCACGGTGTTGTTGAGGATTAGACAAGGCTGAAAGCGGATGTTCAAAAAAAGCTTCTGGGAAGCTAGGTTGGTTGAGATGATAGCAATCATTAGTCACGAGAGGACAGAAAGTCTACTTTAAGTTTTTTTTCGGGGAGAGGAGGGAGGTATATGGTATTTGGAATCCTAATCTCTGTTCTGAGAATATAAGTTTTTCTAACTCACAGGATCTTGTTTTCTTTTCCCCCTGTGTCCTCAACCTTGATTTTAAGGATTTTCCTTTGCTTAACATCATGAATCACATTAAAGATACTTTGTCCAGGACTGTTAGTAGTCTGTGGAAGCCTGCCTGTCAGGAGCAGGATGGAATGAGCTGGGATTTGAGTCCAAATCTTAAGCTGAAAGATTTATCAAAATGACACAGTCAACCTTATAGCATTAAAAATAATTCAGTAGGGAGGACAGGCAGTTTGGATTATCAGGGAGTCTAATCTTCTCTTAAAATAAGCAGAACTTCTGCTAGACCATAAGGCTATTAAATAAAAAGGACCAGATCTACATTTTCTATTCTTCCTCTGCCAGGAAACCTGCCAGAGGAAAGTGCATGGAAGCCTGCCTTTAGTGATCAGTGTTACAGATGTTCTAGGTTTTTCCATGTTATAATGTGTGCTTATATTACTAGGACAATAACCACTTTTGAGAAAAGAGATTTTTTTTTTTTTTTTTTTTTTTTGAGATGGAGTCTTACTCTGTCACTCAGGCTGGAGTGCAGTGGCAGGATCTCAGCTCACTGCAACATTTGTCTCCTGGGTTCAAGCAATTCTCCTGCCTCAGCCTCCTGAGGAGCTGGGACAAAAGGCATGCACCATCATGCCTAGCTGATTTTTGTATTTTTAGTAGAGATGGGGTTTCGCCATGTTGGTCAGGCTGGTCTCAAACTCCTGCCTCGACTTCCCAAAGTCCTGGGATTACAGGCGTGAGCCACTGTGCCCGGCCCAAGTAAAGAGATCTTATAGGTTACATTTCTTGGTTGATACCATTTACTGTACCTAGCTGACAACTTTGATTTAATGACCCTATGGGTCTTACTGTCTACCTAAGTGACATGGTCCTGCCCAAGGTGCTCAGAATCCATATAAGGTGTGAGACGAGAGAATAAAAGGTTTACACTGCAGTTGATGCTGACTTGTGCACTTTAATAATGCTGGATGTGATTAAGTCAAAACCAAGTGGGCTAGAGTAGACTTTTTCTTTATCTCATTGTTTGATTTGTGGGGATGGAGATCTTAGCCCCTCTCTCACTGTGCTGTTTCAATATTTAACACATCAAACAGTAAGGAAAGTATTGATGATATCTAATCTAAAACCCCCTAGCTCCAATTTAGTCATATTTCCTTTTGTTTTGGCCTCCTTGGAGATTTTATTTAGGGGCAACTAGAGCTGATATTTTGATTTCTAACCAGTTATACTCAATTCAAGTGAAATTATATACAGAGTTGTAGGAGTTACATGAGCACTTTTATTCTGAGAGAAAGATAGGTGAGCAGAGCCTTCTGGCTCCACAGGAGCTCAATCAATTCTTCTTCTGTCTTTGGGGCCATCACGATGTCATTGACGCATCTTTCAATGGTGCCTTCTCCAAAAGGCTCACTGTTGCTATTTGACCTCCCCACAGAGCTGGTATGTGGGACACTTCGAGCTTTATTTGTTCTCGGCCTCTCAAACCTGATTCTGTCACTAGCATGAGGGCACTGCTGATGCCTGAGCAAACATCCTGCACATTGAAACCAAGCCTGAAGAAACAAGGCTGCATTTAAAGGTTGATACCCCACCCAACAGTAAGATCCTGCTTGCTAATTCATTGCTGTATTTCTGAATGTGGTTAATCTTTTAAAAATTATACCCTAAGTCAGGGCCATTTGTCTTTTCACAGCAAAATTCTTCTACTTCACTGTTGAACCTGTATTTGAAAGGAAGAACTCAATTTCTGGTCAGCTGTGTCCAATTTCATTATTAACTTTTGTTTAAGAAAACAAGGAGAAGGAATACAAAAGCAGTCTAAGTCCTTCTGTCAGTGGAAAACATTGACCTCAAATGACATTTAGCCTTTAGGCTGCACTCAGCTCATTAAAATGAAGGTCAAAGTCAAAATCGAACTATCCCACACATTCTTATATCCACAGAGGAGAGCCACTTATAATCAATGTTCCACTTTTGCTCATTTTTATTTTGCCTCCTTACTACCTGTTTCTGTAGTAAGTCAATACATCAATGCTGTACTTTTTCCAAACAAGTGTTGGATGAGTTGCAAGAGACTTAAAAAGAAAGGTCAGGATAATAAGAGTTGATGAGAGAACAAATGTCATGATAGATGAGCCATTTCCTGTTTTATTAGGATAAATGCCTAAAAGAAGATGGGGCGGCGAAATCTCAGCTGCTGGACCACTACTCACCTTGCCTGTAGAACTCTTCACAGACCCTTTCACTCCACTGCTTGCTCATCTCCCAGATTCTACAAGGATTACAAATGTCAGCACACTTCAAGGCGATCTGAAAAATGACAGGGTAGGGAGAGATTGTCAGAGGAAGCTTTTTCAGTTGCAAAAGCACCCCAAGCAAAAGAGGCTGTCAAGTCGTCAGTCTGCTCACGGTACCAGGCCCCTATTTACAGAGTACCTCCCTGACATGCCTCTTCAGGAAACCACTTATTCACCACTACACAAAGTCTGCATTGAGAATGCTGGCTTTACAGCAGTGAGGAGGAGAGACGAGCCACAGTCCAAGGACGTGGAGCTAGCTGGAGGAGAATTGGGTGGGCAGGCCAAGGAAAGCCATGGCCTGATTTCTTCTTAGCCCCAACTCCTGCAGGCAGGGAGGTTGCAGGGTCCCTGGCCAGGCTCAAGTGAGGTCATGTGAACCTCACTCTCACAGTAGCCACACTGAGGAACTCCATACATCACTTAAATTATGCATGTTGGCATTTATATCTGCCGGTGTCAACTCAGACCACCAGTCAGGCAATGAAGTTGTATCAAACCTAGGAATGCTTTGTTGGCACAGTTAAATTTGGGCCTTCTTGGCTTGCCTAACACTGGTCTGGATCTGGGATGCAGCTTTTTGTCAGTAATGATGACCCTAGGAGAGTTACCTTGAATTCCCAGAGAAGTAGATTCTCCCTTTTAACCACCAACTGCTACCAAGAGACCAGCAATGCCCATTGGTTTGACCCAATTCCTTGGGATCATAGAACTGATAGCAATGTTGGGGTCCGGAAGAGCCTTGGATCGTATTAACCTGCAAATCTGGTTGTTTATATTTATTTCCTGGTTAGTGGGGGTACCAGTACAGGTTGAAGTAGGTAAGTATCAGAGAAGCCTTCTCCAGTTTCTGCCTTAAGGGATGCATTTGAGTTAGCAAGCCTTCCTTCTGAAATGCACGTGTTTAAAGTCAAATCTTTCAGCTACTCACAACTTGGCTTTAGTCACTCAGATCAGACACCTGGTTAATCCTTGTGGCATTCAGAGACTAGAAGCCTAGTTTGGAAAGAAATAAGGAGGAGTCAGTTCTACAGCTGGGAGTAAGGTATTTCCTGGCAAGGATGGAGCACTTTGGACAGCTACAGAGGGTAGCAGGAGAGCCTGGAACAAAGACTGCACGATTCAATCTCCAAGTGCTGTTCTGTCTCCTCGATCTAGATGAGTCTGGGGTCCATTCGTTATGTCTTTTGCACCAAAAGAAAAGGAGGAAGAAGAGAAAATGGGAGATCAAGAAAGAAGGTTCTGGTCTGGATGCCAGGTCACATTTTTACTGGTGACGTCCACTCTACCCTGATGTAATTTGTCATGTCACAAATGGCTTCTTGCCGTAAAACAGAAAGGAATGGACTTGATTCAATTCAATTCAACTTTTATTTTTTGCTGCCTAAAAATGGTAAGATCAGATAAACATGTTTGAGACTCAGATGAAAATAGAAGTTTAGGTAGTAAAAGGAAATAAAGCAGGTTAAATGGGTTTAAGGTAAAGGAAGGCCACTTGTTTTTCAATTTTTGTATGCACTATAGTTAATATAATAAATGTTTGTATTTCAGAAACAGACTTTTAAAATTGCGTATCACAGTAGTTGATTTTATACCAAGACACAAAATGTATTAGAACTTTACTGCATGCAGTCATCCAGCAGGATTACTCTGTGATAAATCAGTTACCAAACAAGAAAAATGAGGTATTATCATCTTGTTGACACAAGACCCAGATTTTGCTTGGTTGGGACCCACTTATAATTTTCATGCATCTCAAAGCCTTTACTAAAATAGGTCATTGATCTCATACCATGGGAGATAATTCCTTCTCAAACATGCTAATATTGATCATGGCCCTGAGTGGATCGTTGTTGTTTTTTGTATTTTTAGAGACAGGATCTCACTCTGTCACCCAGGCTGGAGTGCAGTGGTGCAATCATAGCTCATTGCAGCCTTGAACTCATGGACTTAAGTGATCCTCCTGCCTCAGCCTCCCAAGTAGCTAGGACTACAGATATGAGCTACCACGCCCAGCCCAGCTGAGTGTTTTTACTCAACAAGAAGAATGGCTTTTACTGTTGTTTACCTGAAGCATAAAGTGCCTGTCCTGTGCATCCTCCAGTCTTAAGTCTTTATTGTGGAGGTGAGCTTTCAATCTGGTCAAAAATTCATTCTGCCTGTTGATGTCTGTTGCCAAGATCAAGGAGCCCAGCTGCTGTTCAATATCCTGTCTGCATCCACAAGAATGAAAGAGAAAAACACACAAAGCAAATCCCTTTGATGAGGGTGATTGATTTTCTCATCATCAGGTGGCTTGTAATCTCATTTCTGCCTTTGATTCTGTTTATTACACAATGTGCCAGTCCTTCACCGCCTAAGAGCAAGTCTCTCACCCACCAGTTCCGTCCTTGGACAGGAGGCATGCCAAGGACGGTGTAAAGTGATTGAAACCTTGGAAAACAACGTTGTGGTAGTGTGGACATTCCTATGGGTGAAAAAACTGAAAGGCAAATAGAAATGCCTGCTTTAGGGAGGACACAAAAGACTTGCAGAATCATGAGATTTGTGCTGTGTTTTTAGAGTTCAAACTAATTCAAACATAAAGATTTGCAGGGAGAGAGAAAAGGGCATAACAGTAGTAATAACAGTGAAGAGAATAATAGTAAATGGTACCATGGGATGGAAAGATCCATCAGTGGAACACAAATATGTAGGCCAGAAAGAGATTCTGGAACTTCAAAAACAAAAACTGAGACATTGTTATAAGCCAGTGGGCAAGAGATATGTTAGTCAACAGATGGTATAGAGAAAATGGAATATCAGATAAAGCAAGTTAGAGCTTACCTCACATATAAAAAGTAATAAAGGAATGATCCATAAATATTTGTAAAATTTACCTTTAAAAACAAAATATAATTAAGTAGAATGCATAGGAATACATATATAGTTTAATGAATAAATTGAAAATGAAAACCTTGTAATCACCACTCAGGTCAAGAACATTGCCTGCCAGTACCCCAGAAGGCCACATTGCCTGTCTCATCACAGCCCCTTTCCTTTCAAGCCCAGAAGTAACCACTTTCTTGCTCTTTGTCTTAATATTTTTCTTGCTGCTTATGATTTTACCACCTGTGAATGCATCTCTAAACCACACAATTGAATTTTAACTGCTTTGGGACTTTAAGTTATATGGTATGTATTAGTGACTGACTTCTGTAGCTACAAATCATGTTTTTGAAATTCCTTCATGTTGACGTGTAGGCTGTGGTTTATCCTCTTTGTGTGGTTTATCCTCTTTCATTATTATAGTGTACGCCGTTGTATAAAATTCCATTGATCCTTCCCATTCTCTGTTCTACTTATCATGGTCACTTGAGTTGTTTCTTAGTGTTTGGCTACTATGAAAAGAGCCACAGTAAATATTCTTATATACCTCTAGTTATGCATATGCAGAAGTCTCCCTAGAGTCTAGGTCCAGGAATGCAATAATTGGAGACAGGGTATATTTATCTTCAGTTTACTAGATAGTGCCAATTATTTCCAAAATGATGGTGTAAATTTGAGCTCTTCTCAACAGTAGCAGATGAGATTGTCATTGTTCTACATTCTTACCTTTTGCATTTCTTGCCAGTTTGGTGGGGCATGTCATGCAACCCACTGTAGTTTTAATATGAATTTTCTTGTTTCCTAATGAGCCTGGACACATTTTCATGTGTTTATTGGCCATGTGTACTACTTCTTTCGTGAAGTTTCTACTCTAGTTTTTATCTATTCTATTGAGTTGTCTTCTTTTTCTTATTGATTCTGAAGTTCTTTACATATTTTAAACACTGGTCCTTTGTCAGCTATGAGTTGCAAATATTGTGTCTGTGGTTTGTCTTTTTGCTGTCTTTATGATATCTATTGATGAAAGGAAGTCTTAATTTTTATAACTTTTATTTTTAAATTTATAAATAGAGATGGGGTTTCACTATGTTCACCAGGCTGGTCTCGAACTCCTGGCCTCAAGTGATCCTCCCTTGTTGACATCCCAAAGTGTTAGGATTGCAGGCATGAACCATCATGCCACCAAGAAGTCTTATTCTTTAATGTAGCCTAATCTATAAATCTTCTTATTTATGGCTAGTTTTTTCTCCTCTTTAATAATTTTTTCCCAACTCTGATGAAAAATTTCCCTACATTATATTCTAAAAGCTTTGTAGTTTCACCACTAATGTTTTTGTTTTTAAGCCATACATACATCTTTAATCCAGTTCAGAACATGAAAAATTATATAAAACAGAAAATTCACAAAAGAAATGTAAAATATCTCAAAAATAAAGTGATATTAAATATTCTTGGTTTTAATTTACTTTCTGCTATGCTACTATATGATATTATTTCTCCCATTTTTGTTGGTGAGGATTAAAAGTAACTGCTAATTAATTTGCTGAATTATTGAAAGACTGTAATACCCAATGCTGTCAATGATATGAGAAAAAAATGGTTCCCCTCATTCTCTGTTAGGGAATATAAACTAGTACAATGTTTCTGGAGGGTAATTTAGGAATCAGTGGAAAAACCATTTGGTGAACATAAATAATTTGACCAATAGTTCATCTATAAATTTACATTAACATGTTAGTAAAGATATATGTTACAAGGATGCTTATTCTGTTATTTACAATAATGAAACATTCCACAGGGAAAAAAAATCACAAAAATTTATAATGAGATTAGTTAAATAAGCAGTTAAATTGTACACTCATACTGTACAATTAAGTATGATGTACAGCTATAGTAATTGACATTGAACAATGTCATGTTTTATTGTTAAAATGGAATGCAAAGCATGTAAAGCATCTCTATGGTCAGAGAAAATGCAAAGATCTGTAAGGGGATTAGGATTGATTTTTATTTTCTTATTCTCAAAATCATATGACTTCTTTGAAAATATGAATACTTACTAAATTTATAATTGGAAAACAAAATGAGGTGAAATGCTTCATGAACCAAATTAAAAGGCAAACGAAAAACTTCAGGTAATATTTACAACATATAACACATGGTTACTGTCGTTAACATACAAAGAATTCTAAAATAACACTAATAAAAAAAATAGGAAGAGACCAAATATAAAAGTGTGTTTTCTAAAGAAATAGCAATGATCAGTAAAGAGATGAAAAATTTCAATCTTGGTTGTAAGTAATTGATGCATACTAATTTAATGAAAACTACTTTCTCTATATATACATATGTATTTGTATATATATTCATATATTAATATACATACATATTCATAAACATGTCAAATTTGCAAATATTTTTAAAAGATAAAGCTTAATTTTGGTGATGGTACATTGGTACATTTTCTTATTAATCCATCAGTGGGAATACAGATAGATACAGTCTTTTGAAAGCACAATGAGATAATATACAAGAAGAAACTTAAACATTTAGACCTTTCTGACCAATAATTTTTATCTACAAATATTTCCGGAGAAAACAGTATCAAAGCTTGGGATACTGGAAACCACTTACATTCCAAATGAAAGGCAGTAGTTGTGTACAATAATGTCATTTGGCACAATAATGCCATATGGCTGATAAAATAATTTTAAGCAACAGGTTTAATGACTTGAAAAAAAGTCTTTATAGTAAATAAAAATTTCAGGACATAAACTATAAAATAAGTTTCCCAGATAACCATATTTTGTTAAAATATGTTTGTATTGAAAAAAGACTAAAAGAAAATAACTAGGCAGGTTATGTGAACTATCCTTGGATGGCAGAGTTACTAGTAATTTCAATTTTCTCTTTTATATCAAGCCGAATCATATGAAAGTGCTAAAATCTGCTGTTTCTGGCCTTTAAAAAGAAGAATTTTACAGAGTTCAAACTAACACTTTCCTGAATTTCCTTTACTTTCTATAATTAACCTGCCCTACTTTTGAAATCAGAAAAATGACATGAAAGCATTTACCTGAGGTAGAAAAATAATGATTATGATAATGGGTTTTGTTATAAAGTCTTTTCACATATATTATTGTATAACAATTATTCTTCTGGCAAAAGCGGTTTATAACACTGTGTTCCACAAAGACACATAAAAATATATTTTTCGTTGGAATCCTTAGACATGAAATGAGTATCTTAGGAAACAAATGCTAATTGAGTCACAAATAGGAAGAACGCAGGTATGGACTGGGAGAAGCCTGGTCACCCGAGTCCTTCTTTCCCTTTTCCCTTGCATTTTCTTCTTTCCTGTTCTCACTATTCTTCCTTCCCTCCTCTTCCTCCTCTTTATCTGTCTCTACCCCTTACCTCCTCTCTCTTCTCACTTGATTTCTTGCTCTAGTTTTTAGTTCTTACTGCATTTGATTCTTTCAGTCTTTACAATCTATTATTCTAGTAAAGGGTTATAAGTTTTTGTTCCATGCACAAGAACTGGTTTTACTTAGTTCCAGGGAGTAAAAATTGATCAGAGCTGAATTCTTCCTGTAAATTTCACATCCCTCTGGGTGCCAGGAAACAGCATATCAAATCAGAGGGCCAGGAACCAACCCATAACCCAGAGTGTGGTGCTTGTTCAGTTGGGAGACACCACTTGGTCCTTGACCTCAAGTTACGTGCCTGTCTTGAAGAAGGGTACAGCAATCTATACCTCTTTTCACCTAGGTTTCTTGGGTTAAGGGCACTTGTTCATTAAACAGACCAGAATGAGTGGTGGCCTTAGTATTAGCTAATTTGGGGACATGAGGAAAATGAAGCAATAGCCTCCGATTTAGTAGGACTCAACCTACATACCATGGCTATCAAATAGTGAACCAGAAAACGAGTGTCTCCCCTTACGTTTAAAGTACAAGAGACATAAAGTAAATTAATTGGTAAAAAAACTGCTGGGGCCATTTCAATCACTTAGCAAAAGACTTTTTAGAAAAGAATTTCTGACTTCTATTTTTGCTAAGACTGGCAATTAGAAAACATACTTTTTTTGGTACTAATTTTAAATCTAGCTTGAGAATGTCTGGGTTCCTTCTTGATAAATAATTATTATTTGGATCTACATAGGAGGGCAATTCTGCTAATCTAAAGGATGGGAATTTGGCAAAGCTGAGCACTGATGCTGAAGTGTGTGAAAACTGAGAGCTGTTTATTATCCCTTTTCCTGACTGTAGGTCATTGACTGTGCAAGGCCCTTTCAAAGTACACAGAGAGATTTTGGTTTCTGGGTTGCTGTAACAGACACCAAATCTCCTCTGATAGACAGCTCAGTGCAAGCAGGAAGCACAGCCGGCTGGCTCTCTGCCATTCACACAAGGGGTCCCAAGCCTGCCCTAGAGAAAGTGGCTTATCATTACTGCGTGCACATCAGTACGTTTCATCTCGGCAGCACTTACGTCATTTCCTTTGGCAAGTGAGCAAGAAGCCTCGATTCTCGAAGCATGCCAATTGTAGAACGCCAGTGGTGATTCTCCAGCACAGACATGTTCTAGAAAGAAAGAAAGGAAATGAGAGCTATGAACGAGAGGGAAGCCAGATACTGATCTTTCATGCTGAACATAGCTCCATGGACGCCAGCATTTTCCCTCCAGTCAGTTTGTACCAGATGAGACAGAGGCAGACCCGAAAAAAGAGAACAACAACAACAACAACAACAACAACAAAACAAACCACCAAAACCCAAGATATAACCACCGTGAAGTCTAGTCTCAAGGCTTTGATGATGATGAGAACAGCAGGGCCGTGCTGACCCTCTGCTTCAGGGGGTCATTCACTCCTGCCTCTTCCCCTCTTTCAATAGCTTAGTCAGGCCACACTAAATGTAGGAAAGAAAGTGAAGCAGTGAAATACGTAGTAATGGATACCGTGGCACTACAGTCATAGTAGAGTCCAAGATTATACTAGCAAACTGGACAGAGGCAAGCCCCACAGCCTCTGGTCTAATCTGCACTGATCATTTCTCAACACTGATAAGAACCTCCTGACTCCAAACCTCCAGGGTAGCTGGTGACACATTCAGACTCCTGAGTTGCAGTCATTATGGTTCTGATTTGATAGGCTTGTGGTGATTAATTCATAGGTACACTAAGGTTTGAGAACGATTATCTTGCAGGTGCCTCTGCCGGTAATTTTCGTGACCAGCATCTTGGCATTTAGCTGATTAAATCTATGGTTTGGAATCTACAATTGCTTCCTTGCTCAATTATCTTAACATTTCTCCCCTTGAGAGAACCTGCGTTATATTCAATCTCTCCCTTGACGTTACTGTTATTTTAAATAGGCTTTTTTATCTGAACATTTAACCATTTAAATAATGACTATTTCTTATGCTCCATTGCGTTTTGCTCTAATTAGCAAGCATTATCTCCTTATCACTGACTTCATAGTACAGAAGAGAACTCCTCTTGACCCCAGGCAATATTTTATTTGTTTATTTATTCACTCTCCATGTTGTTTCAAGAGTGGTTATAATCTTACAAAACATATAAGAGGATGGTTGCTATGGTTTCAATGTCCCCTCCAAAACACATGTTGAAACTTAATCCACAATGTGACAGTATTGAGAGGTGGGGCTTTTAAGAGGTGATTGAATTGCGGAGTAATATTCATGGATTGATGGATTAGTGGGTTATCATGGAAGATAAACTGGTAGCTTTATAAGAGAGGAAGAGAGACCTGAGCTAACACTTTAGCATGCTCAGCCCCCTCTCTATGTGATGCCCTGAGCTGCCTCAGGACTGCAGTCTCCACTAGCAACAAGGCTCTCACCAGATGCAGCCCCCTCTACCTTGATCTCAGCCTCCATAACTGTAAGAAATAAGTTTTGCTTCCTTGTAAATTACACAGTTTCAGGTATTCGGTTATAAGCAACAAAAAATGGACTAAGATAATAACATTCAATAAAAAGTGAGAGACACTGTATAATTTCACATACATGAGGTACCTAGAGTAGTCACAGTCTTAGAGGCAGAAAGTAGAATGGTGGTTGCCAGGGACTGGGGGAAGGAGGAACAGGGAATTAGTGTTTAATGAGCACAGGGTTTAGTTTTGCAAGATGAAAAGACTTCTAGAGATGGGTGGTGGTTGTGATTTCACATTATAAATGTACTTAATACCACTGAATTGTACACTTCAAAATGGTTAAGATGGTAAAATTTATATTACATGTATTTGACCACAATTAGAAAGTAAGGGAAAAGAAGCAAGGAAAATAATATGATGATTAAATGGAGTCAGGAGTGAGGCTAAAAATCATCCCATCATTATGGCCCTACTGTATGTATCTGAAGCACCCATATAATGTTTAACTTCTTTAGCAAATGAAGAAAGAGAATCTCTGTTAGTGACACAATCAAGGCTCCAGTAGGAAAACACGTCAGGAAAGCTGCAACTATTCCTGATTCTAAAACCACACATTGATTTATCTCCAAGACTTTGTTATGAGATAAGTTTCATGAGAATGAGTCTCATACTCATCTTCTGCTGAGGCTGTCCTATTGCTATTCATTTCACTAATTGCCAAGGAGTCATTATTCCTTATTCACCACTTGACCCTGTTTGAAGTACTAATGAAATTTTGTTACTTTTGTCAACTGGTCTATTATTTCCTTTTGGGCATGAGCCACACACAACAAAAGAGAAGGCTGATTGGAAATCACATGCCAGACTAATTTGTTTTGATTGTAAAGATTTAGGAGAGAAAAGAGTGATAGATTAGTGTGATGTAACAGATGTTCAACCCTGAGATGACATTTAATTCAGTTGCTCATGAGTTCACTTGCAAGACTAATTCAAGTAGATGTGGACATGTGTGCCCTCCCATGAGTTTTTCAAGGGCCAGAAAGCTGTAACGAGACCTGATGACAAATGACACCATATCCCCATGTAGTGCAACAAAAATGTCTAGAAGATGGCCTTAAGCATCGTGATGTATGCCAGCTTGACTTAACATCTTCATTAATAATCTTCCTGTAGACAGAATAAAATGATACTTGGGAAATTTGCTGGTGAAACCATATTTGGAGATGAGCACCAGGGAAATGCAAGAAAATTGGGTTAGCTTGGAAGCTGGTACAGATTAAAAGACAATAGAGTAGATGATTGCAAACACAGCCTTTGTGGAAGAATCATTATGCATAAAAGCGTGTTTTGGCCAGAACTGCAGGGGAAATAGGGGTTGACTGTTTTAATTAGATGTTAGTTTCTCACCGCACATTGGAATTCTTGCATTTACCTCTGAATCTGGTTCTACTGCTAAAAATCTTGTGGTTTGAATATGTTATGATTGAGTAGATTTAGGTTGTCTTGGGGGAGAAGTCATTGTTTACTCTCAACCCTCATGTCCAACCAGTGTCTGAATCCTCTCGGTTTTCCTACGTAGCGTCACTTGAATCCAATCATTCCTTTCATTGAAGCCACCCTATTTCCAAGTTTTACCAAACTTCCTCACTGTCCTTTTTTCAAGCCATTCTCCTTACAGCTGTCAGAAGTGACCTATTTGTTTGACAAAAATTTTCTACCTTCTCTCTAATTACTGGTTGAAACAAAAATATTTATCAATCACCCACTAATATGCTAGGTGCTGTGGTGTGCACTGGGGACCCAAGGATAAATAAGACAAAATCCCTGCTCTCAAGGAGCTCGTTGGCCTTCTTGGTGGAGAGTATGATCATGCTCTCCACCTCCCCCAGCTCTCTGTTCCAAACCCCACAGTGGATCCGCCGCCCCCTGTAAGACAAATTAAGTTGAATTCCTTATTTTGGTATTCAGTGCTCTATGAAATTGTCTCAACTATCATTTTTTTCCTATATGTTTGAGATAACTCAATACCTTTACCTCTCCTTTCAACAAAGCTCTTATAGTCCAAATAAATGATATGTTAGTAAGACTATAACTTACTAATGTAAATATTAAATTATTAACATATGATGGGGTCCTTTGCTTTTGTCACTCTGATGCCTTCTAAGACAGTTTATCATTCACAAACACCTCATTCTCTATGTTCACCTATCAAACCAGCATTTGTCTTTCAAAGTTCTCTTCAAATACTCCATCCACAAGGGCATCTGCAGTCATTCCAGGCAGAGGCAAATGTGCTCTCTTCTGAGTCTTATACTCCTTTTGATTTTTTTCTGTGGCATTCTGCAAGTCCTGGGTCCTGTTAAACTCAGTCCTATTGATGTGTATTAGAGTTCTTTATGTACTTCCTTTCTATTACTACGTTATAAGCTAGGTATGAGTAGGCAGCCTACCTTGTTCCTGTTGTACCCACTCGAATCTATGCCTCACACAGTTTCTATAGATTTGCTAAGTAAGAGAACAAATAACTTGATTTAATTCAACAAATATATTGAACACTTACTATGTTCCAGACACTGTGATACATGTTTTGAATACATCAGTGAACAAAACAGACAAGGAACTAGTGGTGGTAGAGATGGTGTATTAGTCCATTTTCACACTGCTGATAAAGACTACTTGAGACTGGGCAATTAACAAAGGAAAGAGGTTTCATGGACTTACAGTTTCACATGGCTGGGGAAACCTCACAATCATGGTGGAAGGCAAGGAGGAGGAGCAAGTCACATCTTACATGGATGGCAACAGGCGAAGAGAGAGAACGAGCTTGTGCAGGAAAACTCCCCCTTATGAAATCATCAGATTTTGTGAGACTTATTCACTATCACAAGAATAGCATGGGAAAGACCTGCTTCCATGATTCAATTACCTCCCACTGGGTCCCTTCCACAACATGGGAATTTCAGATGAGATTTGGGTGGGGACAAAGCCAAACCACATCAGATGGGGAGAGACAGGCAATAAGCAATAAACATAATAAGTGCTTTCATGCTGGAAGGAGCTGGATAGCATGTTAGGAGACAGTAAATGCATGGAGAGAAGAGTAGAATAGTGGGCATCTGAGAGTCCCCACTCTCATATAGTGGGGGGGTTGGTAAGGTAGTCATGGGGAGAGGTGAGATTTGAACGAGAGTTTGAAGGCAGGAGGGAGTTAGTCATTCCTGTGTGGGGCAAGAGCATTCTAGAGAGAACAGCTGGAGCAAAGGCCTCAAGGGAGGAGCAAACAGCTGTGAGGTCAATGCACAGGGAGAGAGGGGAAGTATGGAGACATCAAGTCAGAGAGGTCATGAGACATCAGACCAGGCATCCCTTCTGGCAATGACAAACGTTTTGGTTTTTATGCTGAGAGAAATAAGGAGCTGCTGCAGGGGTTTGGGAGGTGTAAAATTATATGATTCACACTGAAATAAGGCCACATTGGCTGTACGTTGACAATAGACTTTGGTAGGAGTAAGGGAGGAAACAGGTTGAAATGGTTTGTATCTGTGCCCCCAGCCTAATCTTATGTTCAGTTGTTTTCTCCAAAAGTAGAGGTGGGGCCTGGTGGGAGGGGATTGGATTATGAGTGTGGTTTCTCATGAATAATTTAGTACCATCCCCTTGATGCTGTTCTTGGCATAGTGAGTTTTT